ACAGGAAAAAGTGGATCTGTACCTGAAGGGACTCGGGATGTGTTTAAGTGAGCATGTGTGTTGATATGTGTGTGTGTGTGTGTAGTTTGGCTAAAATCCAACCACAGCCTGTACCACTACCCTCCCTTTCCCCAGAACCACCCTAAAATCCTCCCTGGGCCTCCAGCGATAGAATCCCTACGGGAGACTGGAAACAGAACAGAGCAGAGAGGAGGGAGATAGGCGCAGAATAAAGCAGAAAAACTAGCTACTTTCCTCCTACTGCACATGCACGAAAAGATCAGGGGCGCTCCTAAAAACTCTGCAAAAAGGACAACCCTGTGGAGCCCACAAAATATTCTGGTAATTGGAAAGCAAACCAAGAGTCAGAACAGACCTTCAGGGGGATGTGTTTAGAGGAACAGATTTTAAAGTCTGTAAGTTTATGCTTTTATGTACATATACTCAAAATTACACCTGATATTGGAACATAGTTTTTGGAGATGTAAAATACACACTATCACAATTTCATAATATTTTCTTGTCTTTTTTTTAAAGAAAGGGATCTTAGGAATCTTAATTTAACTACAAACTAAAGATACACAGATACATTTGTTTTGGCCAATATTTGCATCTCTCTCTCTATAGGTATGTGTTGGTTCATTCGTCAGCCATGCATTATCCTTCCTTCTATTACCAATCCATTGCTTATGTTTGATTGGCTAATAAACATTTCTATTTAAACTTATGTAATTTACATTTCTGTTACAATTATTTTTGTATCAGTTTTAAAATGTAAATAAAGTTAAAGCAACATCAGCCTAAAGGATACAAAACAATTGGCAGCACAAATCCAGTAGCTGTTGCCTAAAATAATCAGAATCGAAATCGGCCTATAAACCTGCATCTATCAATCGCTAGTACAAACCTCTATATTCAGTTTTAAGTGCATAAACCATCAGCATTTAACATTTTATGGTGCACTCTAACTTTAAAATAACATTTTTATCTCTTTAAAACACAGATTTATACACAAGAATCAACACACTGGAATCATACATACACACAGAGCAGCAAGCAGCAGCAGCAGTAGAGGAAACTTAAGCTACCTTATATATAAACGGGGAGAATGTGTCCTCTTTTTGTGGAGCAAATCTGCCCCTATAGGTTATGCCAACTTGACCCTCCAAACTTGTTGAAGAGGAAAATAATCTAAGCAGGTCTGATCTCAAAAAAAGAGAGACAAAAAAAAAAAATCAATGTTGCAACTCATTTGTCCTTTTCTCTACATTCATGCCGTAAAAATATTCTGGCTGTAAGCCTTTGTGAATTATATATGGGTGACTACTGCTCCTACATTTGCTTCAGAGCATCTCACACACTAACTGAGCTACCTGCGAAGGAAAAAAAACATTTTCCTTCAACAACTACTTTTAGTAATTTGCCCGCATGTCTAAATCGTACACTCACACAGAGGTGCATGTCGGGAGAAAGAGTCAACTGCAAGGCCTGAACAAAATTACCATCATTATCCATAACCATAAACAAGCCTGATGATGATGATGGTTTTAAAAATAATAATAGCAATCCAGCCTGAGTGCTTTTTCACATAACAGTGACAACATTAGTCACACCGGCAGCAGAGAAATGAAAGGCTCGCTGCCTTGAGAGCTCGCCTTTGTTGCCGCTGCTGATGGGGCAAATTGGCAGGCAGAGCCGGCAGATGCGGGTCCTTAAAGACGGATGTAAAAATAGTGGGCTGTCGATTTGCCCGCTGCGCTGGCGAGGATCCAAGGCAAACAACATAACAGGAGTTGAGGAATAACAGGAAAAGGGAGAAGCCACGGTGAAAGTATGCCCGAGTTCCTGTCACTTAGCGCAGGTCACACCTAATGTCACCTTCCTCTGGCTGCACCGCCGGGACGAAACAATGTCTTTGCCATATGCTCTGATTTCGTAGCTCGAGATTTATTTAAATGAAAATTTGCTGGTGGCCTGGTTACCCAAAAGTAATGATGAGCCCCTCTGCTGCCACCACACCGAGTCACACACAACTGGAGCTTCTCACTGCTGCCCAGACCTGTGACAGCTGCTGCATTCTTGCCATATCAGTGTGTGTGTGTTGTTGGCTGGGCCCTGCGCTCATGTCCCCCCCTCATTAGCAGGCGGTGGGGTGTTGACATCCTGAGCGACTGCCTCTTCAAATACACACTTCCTCCTCAATCCGGCAACTTCTCCTGAATGCAGGAAACTGCCCAGAGACAAATGACTGAATGAAGTTTTTTTTTAGAAGGAGCAGAAAGAGTTACAGCTGAAGTGGCAGGAGATGCAGAAAAAAATGTCGAATAATGTGAACAGAAATTCATGAATATGATCCTAGAAAAGTTCTGACAAAACCTGCAATAAAAGCTGTTTCAGATGCTGCTCCCCGTTTATTTACGTGCTCACATGTCCAGCTGCTCCACTGCTTTATCAAACCTGCATGCATTTCTGAATCCCACTTTATTGATTGTTTTGGAAAAGTAGAGAAACACCAATCAGGCTGTCCTGGGTGATACCGATTTCCTGTCTCTGCTGCTGATTCCGATTTTGACCAATTCTAGTTTTTTGTTAGTTTGCAAAAAATAAGCAAACCTGAAGAATGTGCTGCAGGTTCTGGGTTGCAGGCAGTTGTTTTTGGATCTAAAATAAATAGCAGAATTACCAGATTAATTTTATTTATGCATCAAAGAATCTGACCCTGAATTTTAGCTGATTATAACTAACCTTAGGGAAGCTGTAAGCTTGGTGATGCATTTATTAACTAAAAAAGTTGTGAGTTTTATTTTCAATGTTAATGATTAGAATGATTTTTGGTTATTTGCTTGATCAGCTGACTGTCGCATGCTTAGATAAAAAACATCTTGCATTAAAATAAAAACATGCCACTCTTAGAGACATGGTGCTGCACGAAACAGAGACGTCGTCTCTGACTCTCCTGAATTCATCTCTGCATCTCCTTCACATCATTCTGGCATTCGCCTCCCGTCTCCTTGGGACAAACAGGAAACAGCTGACACAGTGCCCTGAAAGAAGCTCACATGATGCGTATTGATCACCGTTTGCCCCCCCTCCAGGGTCTCGCACGCAGAGTCGGGGTCAGCGCTCACCCATCCTGCAGGGCATCGCTGCACAACTGCAGAGTTTGCAGGATGACCCCCCCAAAAATGCACATGATCAAGACAGTATTTAATGAAGAAATGTTTTTCTTCTCGTAGCAGCTTCAGAAAAGGACAGAAATGGATGCGATAATGCAACCACCGGACAAACCTAACCTTTAGGGTTAGGCAGTAAAAAAAAGGCTGCGTACGTCATATCTCTGCGGCTGGTAGCTGGGTAAACATACTGGGGACCGCAGCATGAATGGGACTCATGCATCAGGCTACAGCTAGATGACTTCTTAACAGAGCACACATACTGTACACAACAAGCTGCGCTATATCCTCCACTCAGATTTCTGTCGTAATGATGCTGCCCACAAACTGAGAGGGATGCTCCTAATGTCACTTTAAAGTCAAGCTTTACGCCTTTTCTAAGTCACTCGCCACTCTCCTGGTCATTATGTGCTTTTAAAACTGGTAGCAGAGGAATCGTTTTTCTGTTTTTGCAGAGAGTAGATTTTTGTGCTGCATTTAAGTACGTCTTTACTTGAGATGCTGAGAAAAAGAAACACTATCGAAGAGAAGAAGAAGAAGTGGTGAAAGACAGGGACACAAGAAAAAAGAAAGAGTAGTAATGGGGGAAGTGGTGCATGTCTTTTCTGCAAATCTCCTCTTTCACCTCTGCTCTCCTCCAGCTCTCCATCAGGCCAGCCAAGAGACACTTCACCTCGCACCCGCACACACATGGAGCCTGAGCCAACACACACATAAAGAGTGCACACACTCATCCTCCAGCATGCGCACACACACACACACATCACTGGCATATGACTGTTGAGCCACCCACTCAGAAAAATAAATGGCAGGAGCTCAGACACGAACGCCTCGACACCAGATGCGTGCACGTATAGACATCCATATGCTTCGTGTGCAACGACCCATCAAAGACAGACATGGAAATAATAACAGTCGAATGTAACCATACGTACACACGCACACATTCACTCACTGCGGATAATTCTGCACATATGCATCGAATCACTGCCTTCTGAGGCCCGCTCCACGGGAAAAAACAGCAGTGCATGAGCAACATGCCACACTCCTGTACCAAACACTGTAAAACAAGCTGCTCTCTCTCTCAAACACACAAACACACGCATAGACTTGCAGCTATAAGTATATTAGGGTGTTAATAGGCAGATTAGTTTGCACTGTGATCCAAGTTGAAGAGGATATTATCCTCCCGACTTTTTTTTTTCATTTTCTCCTCAGACAAAACAAAGCAGAGCTTTTCTACAAACACGTCTGTCATCACGCCTCGACACTGATTAATGTTCTCACATAGAGACACCACAAAAAGCCACTCAAATCTCAATCTAATTAGGAAAAAATAGCTCCATGTGACACAAGATGGTCAAAACAGCACAGACAGATGAGAGAAAATCAAGCTTATAAATTTATATAATTTTAAAACCTAATGCAGGCACCAATTCTGCTGATCAATGCATGCGGTGGGAGAAAAATAGGTGGAAAGGGAATTTTATAAAAAAAATAAAAAAAAAGAATTCCTGCTTTTATTAGGCATGTATCTTTGGATTAAAATAACTAAATATTTAAAAAATAATAGCAAATGGCAAAAATAAAAATGGTAAAATCTAGTAAGTTATTTTACTTTAAATTTGGAGAAACAATTAAAGAGGGAAATTTAGTTAGGAAGGTACTAAATCACAATAAAATGATTTGACTAAAAGGTTGTATCTATTTTTTTATTTATTATTTTACTTTATTTTAAAATGTCCCTCTGAGTTCACATGTAAATTTTCAGGGTCTCCGTGTGAGAGGAAGCAGAGAGGAGTCAGGGAAATTCTGATGCCACTGTACCTCTTCCAGGTCTCGGCCCATTGTCGACCTGTCGCCCTTCAAAGGAAGCCGCGTTACTGCACCCTTGCAAAAAGAAAAGGAAGATTCTATTTTAGAAATAGCTTTAGAGTAAAAGAGCAAACTCTAATCTAGTTGTATTTTATTGACTCTCTTTTTTTCTGTCACGCAAATAAGCTGCGCGCCTGGGTGGCATCTCCAGGTTTCAGTTGAAGGCGCATTTTTTTAACGAGCCTCTTAAACTCTGATGCAGGTTCCCACGTTTTCTCTGACACTAAGCGGAGAGGAAAACATAAAAAATGAAGAAAAAAAAGGGACGCGGCCTCCGGCTGCTGTGTTGCTGAGGAAACATCCCTGATGAGCCAATTAGGCCCGTGGTAGCGCCGAAATGCGGAGTTTTTAACTTGCATCGGTCGATATTCAAAGCAGCGCATGTTGCGGCTCAATCTGGGCTTCAAATAATATTTCTACAAAATGCCTGAAAAAAAAAAACACTTTCAGCTCATTTTAATATTTTGTTTTCTTTCAGAAAGTTTAAAAAGTTTTATTTTGTTGGGTAAAATGCGCACAGATGACAGAAAAATGGCAAAAAAAAAAAAAAAAAAGGCTGTAACATATTAATAAAATCTGATTGTTTTTGTTTTATATAACTATTCTGCATTCCTGTATTTTTTTGCGGAATATGTATAATTTCCAGTTTTGAGTCTTAAAAAAAACAGAAAACTATTTAAACCCCACAGAGGCCTTAACTCCTGGATGCTTATTATTCACATTTCAGAAATGTCTACAAACTTTTCCCGGTTTTGATTAAAGATTAAAAAAAAATAAAAAATAAACAAAATATATATGTATGTATAAATATATATATATATGACAAAAATAAAATATTAATACGAAATGTTGGAGTTTCACTCTATAGTAATTCTAATAAAAATAATTTAGTCATTTATTTTCCCTGTTTTGTAACAATATTGTTTTTATTTTTTGCACACAAAAAATATTGGAGTTAATATTTAATCTAATGCTAACATACTTGCTGATGACTTACATTTTTTTTTCTTATAAAAGTTGTCTTAAAAAAAACCTCGAGGAGAAACAAAATAAAGGTTAAAGAGATTTAACCGTTTATCCTGATCGATTGGTTTTTAGAAACTGAGATTATCCTTGCACCTGCAAGAAATCTGATTTGTGAGGATCAGCTTTTTTATTATTATTATTATTTGGTTCAATTAAATCATATCGAAGTTACAATCAGATTCTCAGGTCCTGTCACATATTTGGAGCAGTGCTTCCAGATGTTTGGGGCTTGTTGACGCGCATCAGCGGAGGAGCCGCGTCTCTCCAGGACTCATTGCGCTCCGTAGTCTCCTTCCTCCGCGCGTATCGATCAGATCTAATCCGGCCTAACAAACTATAAAACCCCGCAGCCCCCCCCCTCCCCGGCTCCTCTTTTTACAGGAGATTTTTTTTTAGCAGCGCGCACGAACCCATAACGCAGCTCTCTGGCCGAACCCCCCAGGGGTGCGCCAGGCTCGGCAAACACAAAGTCATTATCGCTTAGATTCCAATAAGGCAAGTCTGTCAAGGAACGAGCTTCCTTCGGAGAATTTATGTCAGAGGATATCTTCTAAGTGATGCGCAGAAGGATAAATAACAGCGAGTCCCACAGCTGATTACACTGAAACAACGAAGCGCGTTAGTGCAGAGGAGAGGGGGGTTCCAGCACATGCGGAGCGCAGGGGCCCATCCACCTGCTCTTACCGGCACTGGGAGGGGGGTCTCTACAACCCACACCTCCTTCTAAATTATTTTTATTCAGACATCAGTGGCTTCACATTATTTATTTTAGGGAAAAACATCATAAAATGGAAAATGAGCTTCCAACTTTTAGTTAAAACAGGAAATTGTCATGCTGATAAAACTGTCAAGGGATAATTTTATTCCAGATATGAAAGTAGGAAAAATAACAAACATGCAGTAATAAAAATGAGTCAGAGAAAAGCGATAAGACTGCATGAAAAGTTACAACACGGAGCGGCTGCGGGCTGGGTGCGTAACAGCGCGTGCATGGCACCACAGATCCCGCGGTGATTAACTGCGACCTGGCAGCCGTGCGCGATCCTCACCGTCTCCCCCTCACACGCGCGCGCGCGAACGGAGGCGCACAAACACGCACGCGCGCACGAACTTCCCACTTTGAACATTCCTCCTCCCTTTCTGCCTCCGACATTTCTCCAAAAATCTGTTAAAAATAACTGCGCTGCTCCGGATCCAGGCTTACACCTGGGTTGAAATATATTTTAAAAAGGCTGCAGATCGAATTTAAAACAGGAATAAAAAATAAAAATATATAAAAAAAAAATGTTTCCAGGCGAGGCTCGGTTCTTCCGCGGCTGCTCTGTGGCTGTGCAGCCTAGCAGGGTACTCCCTGGGTCGGCCACAGGAAGAGAAATGAGTCGGTCTCGGATGGAGCTTCTGGATGAAGCGCTCAGGTTTCCAAAACACGGCTGGTTTTTGCTTTAACTCAGCCTCATTTATGGAGGCTTTAAAACAAGGTGTGTATAAGGAGACCATACAGGGGAGCCAATTAATGAATAATCTGATATATGGGGAAATAATAATAAGAATATAAACCTGTGGTTTTAAAAATTGACAAATTGCACTATATCATGAATGATGCTATTTAACATTGTATATATATTTAAGGAATCCATGCATGATGCAAATAAATGAAAAGATTTTTTTAAAGCACCTGGAAATAAAGACCCATGCAAAAAAATTAATCTAATCTTATCAAGGAAAGTTAAGAAAAAAAAAATAATTTTGCAAATTCAAATTCTGATCCTCTCTCTAACAAAACAGCAACAATCAGCCCTAACCTGTTAACACACACACACACACAGAGACACACACACAGAGACAAAGATCCAAGACACAGATACTTTCCTGGACCAAGAGGTGGAAGATGTTAACAAGCAGACATGAGGGATGAAGTTTGTTTCCCTCCACAGAACGGACACCCAGACAGAGATCTGAGGTGGACAGGATGCAGACGTACCTGCTGGGACATTCTGTAGAGGAGGTTGCTGTCAGTGCTCTGCTGCTGCCATGTCCCCATGAAGCCCGGCTGCTCAGCACTAGGCGGTCTGGTGCTGAACTGCATGGAGCTCTCGCCTGCTCCCTCAGCGTTCCTGCTGCTGCTAACAATGCTAACACCACCCAGACCACCACCACTGCCTCCGATGCTGCTGAGGTGACTCTGACTTCTGGAGGGGATCCTCACACCGACGGTGGCTTCGTTAACCTGAGCCGGAGGGGGTGACTCCGGGGCTCTGCTGGGCTCTGCGGGGACCGTGTCAGGCTCGCTGCTTCTCACATCCAACTCTGCCTCCTTGGACTGGGAAAGAGGGAGAGATGAGAGGGAGGGAGGGTAAGAGGGGAGAAGTAGGAGTGTGAAGGAGGAGAGAAGAAAATAAGTCAGCAAAGGTGGGTTCTTTTGGGGTCGTGATGTCTTTGGGGTTTTCTTTTGTGAACAGGATAACTTGGCGGCACAGCAGTGTGTGTTTGGATGTAATTGTTATGAAGCTGGAGGGAGAGAAAAAAGGGGGGTGCTTGCGGTGAATCTCCTCAGGGGCCTCCTGATCTTGTGGGGTGGGTGAGGGGTGGGCACCATTGGAGGTGAGGTGGGTTGGAGAGAAGGATGGAGGGGCTGATGAAAAGCTGAGCAAGAATGGAGTAAAACAAAATAAAAAGGTGGAGGGGACCCAGGAAGGAAAGCAGCAACATGGACACACGAGAACATGCTTCATCTGCCTGCATAATGTTCAAAAATGAGTGTCAAAGAGCAACAAAGTTTGGAATAAGAAATCAGCAAAGACAACACATGCACAGGAATTCTGCAAAGCTGAAGTGATCCTGGAGAGCTAAGATAGGTTCCTATAAATCTGAGCCTGAAGTTTGGCTCTAAAAGGTCCCATTAAAGCCCAAGAGTTGAGTCGTGTCTTACCATCAAACCACTGGCTGTCCCGGGAAAGTGAGGATGAAGTGTGAGCTGAGCCACCAGCTATCCCGCTCCTCTCCCTGCCTCCTTTTCTTTCTCTCTCTGTGTGACTCCGTCCCTCTCCTGACGTCCGTGCCGCTGCCTGTCCTCCCTCCTATCCTCTCCCTTTACTCCTCTCTCTCTTTCTCTCTCTCTCTCTGTCTGACTCCTCTGTACTCCACCGCAGCCACGGAGGGACTGAGCAGGAGCACCTCAGAGTTGGTGTGTGTGTGTGAGAAAGAGAGCAAAGCGAGGGAGAGAGGAAATGTGTGTGTGCCGGGCCGGTGAAGGCTCAACTGTGCCTCTCTGCTCTGAGATGCTCGGTGACACTGCGCTGCACACTTCTCCTGCATGGACACCCCTCCTCTGCTCGGGGCAGGGAGGTGGGGGCATCGCTGAGCAGTAAGAGGAGGAGGAGGAGATGAGGATGAGGGGGGAGTTAGCTGCTTGTCCCCCTGCCTTATTACCATGTTCACTGCTGTTAGTGGCCGGCGTGTCTTAAAACAAAGTTCTCCTATGGGACAGACCCCACACACACCAACACACACACAGCTACTCTGCGTCTGTCTTCTACTTTTTGCACGTCTCCTGATGCACAACAATTTCATTAATTGTCATGTTGTTAAAAATAAAACTCAAAATCTTCTGCCTTTGTAGGATTTTCAGCAGCTCTAATGAAGGACTAATGGAACAGCAGCACATCATCTGCCACCATCACCAGCAGCATCAACGCGCTCAGCTCACAGGCACCTCCTCCTCCTCCTTCTTCTCCTGCTCCATGGAGGCTCTCAGATTTTAATTAAGAAAAAAATGAGGAAGAGGTTCCATTTTAGCCAAATTGGTCCCCGCAGCAGAGAAGGTGTGGGAATAACATGAGGGATGGAGGAGTAGAAGGAGACAGACACAGAGAAAAAAGACACACAGGAGGATGTAAGGAGGGATGAACAGAAAAAAAAAAACTTCCTTTGACACAGCATCTCAAACAATGAAGACCCCCCCTCCTCTTCCTCCACAACCTCCTGCCCCTTTCATTTTTCCTCTTTACTCTCATCGGCTTCCCATTTTCCCCATCTCGGTCTGTCATTAGAGAAATGGCAGAGCAGGTACGGCGGTCCACGGCCACAGACGGAGATGTCACAGTGATCTTTCCACGGCAGCGCAACAAAAGAGAAGGGGACAGGCGAAGAACTTGTCTCCTCGATGGCATTAAACAGCTCCTGATCTATAGAGTCACTTCAAATTTGGTGCTAAATTGCTGCAGACGGCTGCCTGGCTGTCTGTTAAAAGCCTTTTGTAGCAGCTGTTAATGGCAGCGCGGTGTTAACCTTTGCTGAGATTATCACAGCCAAGAAAAGTGCAGCATGTGTATTAAATGTGTGTTCTTTTTGTCTTCTGTCAGTGGGTTCAATTTACATCTTAACCCTTTTTTTACCCAATGTCTTCCCTCCATTTTTCCTCCCTTCTTGTCTGTAGATTAATCAATCAGAGATCAGAATAAGACAATTTTCTTTGCATTAGCCCTGATTAATGATCCACACAATAAATAATGCAAAGTTTATTTTTTTCCTTCCATATATAAAATACAAATATATAAAAAATAAAATGTTCATTCAGTTCTAGGCTAAAGGTGTCACCGAAAAGCAAACAGAAATAAGGGTTACCTCTATCCTGCTGCACGTTGATAGGGGTTAAAGAAGATGTCCCTGCTTGGATACCTTATAATCAGTGCAGTGTCCTCTGCAGGCTTTAGGGGAGATGCACCAACTCTCCTTTTAGTGACTTGAACTCTAAACAACTTAGATTGATATACAAGTAAGTCAATTTTCATAACAATACGTGTATTTTCCCTTAATTTGAGCAGCAAAGTAAGGCAATCTGCCAGTGCAAGAAAAAAAAAAAGAGAAAAAACAACTCAGTTCTCTTACCATAAGTCCATATCTTCTAATTAACTTATTTTAAGTGCGAAACAAACTGATCCTACGTAGATCATCTTATTTGCTTTCTAAATTTAAGAGGGAATATGCTAATTTAAAAAAATATTTATTTATTTTTAGCACCTGGTCTCGTCAGCCTACAATCCTTAAAAGAACATCACAGTATGTAAGCTGCAAACATTGTCCGTCTAACCAAGTATTTCTGAGATTGATATACTAAGCAATCCCAGATTCTATACAATTAATATAAAAAAATAAAATACTAATCAAAATAAGTGTAATAATCTTCCAGAGTAGAAAGACAATTGCACTTGGTAAGACCTAATGATATATTCTCCAAAAAAAAGAAGCAAGTCTTGAAGATTATTGCACTTATTTTCAGTTTTTCTCAAAATAAGATCAAGAATCTGGTCTTTTTTAGTATATCAATATCAAAACAGAATACATCTTTTTTTCACTAAGATCTGAGATTGCAAGCATTGATTTGATGGACACTTTTTGCACAAACATCTGTAATGGACAGGAAAAGCCCATCTATACTTTTAACAAGCTGTCTTTTATTTTTGCATTATGGCCTATGACCCGTCAGCAGCCGCTATAATAAAACACATAATGCATCGCGCCTTCGTTGTGCAGCTTCACTCTTAGCAACTTATTGAAAAAATAATGCATGAGGTCGTTGGCTAATTCTATTAAGTGACAATTTAGCTGCCATGGTTCCTTTTTCCCCTCTCCAGAGTTTCCCCCCCTCTCCCTTCTCTCGGCTGTAAATGTGCTAGTCTGTGGGTTTTTCAAGTGGCACTCAGTGTTTCAAGTCAAGCTGGTGGCTCAGCTTCTAACCCGGCTGCTTAATGGCTGTTATTTGTTTGAGGGAGGAGTGGACTCTGCCAATAGAGCTCACTCTTACTCCTCATTTCTCTAACACTCTTTTTCTCCTTCTCTTGCTGCTTCTTGCTGATGGAAACAGCTAAAGAGGAGAAACGAAAAAATACAAGGCTGAAAGAAATTTGGAGTGGAGATGAAATAGAAAAATGAAAAATCTCTATTAGCAGCAGGGGGGAAGAAAAAAAAGAGGAAAGAAGCGGATCCCGGAGAATCTCAGGCTCCTTTATTAAAACTATTATTGTGCAGGACTAGAGAATTCCCCGTGGGGCAGGGGTCCATGTCGAAGCCCATATAATTAACTAGAGGCTCAGCTACGGATCAATTACCAGACAAGCAAGTGATAGCTGAATCAATGGAAGATCATCAGGCTCGTTATCAGTGTTGCAACTCATTAGAGGAAAAGTGAGGTAGAGAAAGAGGGAGAGCAAAAAAAAAAAGGAGAGGGAGGGAGGGTGAAGATAGAGGGAGGGAGGAGATGGGTGAGGCAGGAGGTTTGGGCAGGGCTGATGTGTGTTGTGTATTTGTGGTGGACTCCTCGTTAGCCGCCACTGACTGGTGACAGGGGGGGCGATAAGGGCAGGCCGCTCTGTAGCAACAGTCACTGAGGCTTGTACGGATCAATACAAATGTGTGCATGAGGTTAAAGCTGGGCCGTAGCATCCTGACTCTCCCGTGACTGGGGATGGGGGGGTCAGGGGGGTTCACAATCTGAGTGAGTGAATGTCAAGTATAGAAAGTTACACACCAAACCTGACATTACAAAAGGGGGGGTGTCTTTAACAAAAGGTGATAATAAATCCTACAAAAAAAAATCTAAAATAATCAGCAGTAAATTGGGTTTTGTTTGAAACTAAAAATTTTTCATTCAAACTTTTCGAATAAGACTGTATTAATTCTTTATTTTGATGTAAATATTTATCTTTATATTTTTTTATCCTATATTCAGTGCCTAAAAGGAAATGTAAATGATAAAAAAAGGAACATGATGTCATAAAATGGGGGGACATATTGTTTTAAAAGTAAAGTAAAGTTATAACATCAGAGCAGTGCTTCTTCCTAAATGATCGGCAATCATGAAAGCAAAGGTTTTATTTTAAACATCTGCAACATTCCCTGAGAGTTTTACTCTCCAGCTCTAAAGTTTTTCATATTGAACTGATGCTGATATGATGGATGGAAACTAAAGTCATTCCTTGTTTGTTATTAAAATCTTGGCCACTAAAGAGGATTCTAATGATCCCATCAGAAAATATCTCTTTAGCTGAATCAAATGAGGTCCTGTCACCTCATTGATCCAAATGTCTGCACGATCTTTGGCTTCCTGGCCTTTTTGCTCTTCCACCTGTTATCACCATCTTCCCAACCTTTAAATGCAATACTGTTGTGGCCTTCATCTTAAGATTTACCTCCCTTTCATCAAGTCTGAGGACCCTGAAGCTCTTCACCTTACCCATACGCCCATGGTGGCATGCTACAATGTGGTCAAAGACATGATAACTGAGATGGACAGAGTAACCATTACCCCGGTAAAAAAAACAT